TTCACTCCAACTCCCTTGACTATAAGCACAAACCACATCCCAACTAGCTCTAACACCCAATGATTTTGCAGCCTTTGAGGTAGCATGACACCTCTTACTAACACCAGGCCCCAACGCTACAGACATGAGGGGCACCCGAGAGCCAAACGTGCATGCTCTGACCTGAGGGCAAATCCCAGAGTTAAAGTTTATCACAACTTAATGAAAAATTTTTAAATGTTTATCACTTAGCCTAAAAATTTAGGGCAGGGGAAGGGGATGGTGAGAATTAAGTGAATTGATGAGTCCAAATGAGTTCTGGCTCATTAATAAAAATTCAGTTGCAACTCATCCTCTCAGGGTTTAGGTTTTAAGTCAACAAGTAAGATAAAAAGAACTGAGAAAAGCCAAACCAACCTTGAAAATCTCTAGACTGATAGCTGATCAGGCTAGATCACTGGTTCTCAAATGGGAGTAATTGTGCCATCCCACCAGGGGACATTGGCCAATGTCTGGAAACATTTTTGGTTATCACAACTGGGGAAGGGTACTACTGGCGTATAGTGGATCAAGGCCTGGGAAGCCAATCGATACCCTACAATGCACAGGATAGCCCCACAACGAAGAATGATCTGGTTCCGGATGTCCACAGTGCTGAGGCTGAGAACCCAATGCTAGAAGATCAAGCAATGAAAGGCAAGGCAGAAAACAGGAGGACCAGCTCCTGCTGGCTTCCACCATGGGCTGACCCCAGGGTCATATCATTCAGTCGGGTAGATTCATCTGCACTACTCAGATTCATCTCTCTTTTTTTTCCCTCTCTCTTTGCTGAGCACTTAAGCTAAATATGTCTACAACATGAGCCCACTGCAGTAAAAATAGCTACCATTTACTGACTGTTTATTACTGCGTGCTGAGAAAGGTGCTAAATAATTTATATGCATTAATTTAATGAATACTACCAGCAACCATGAGATAGTTATGACCATTCCCATTTTACTGGTGAGGAAACCGAGGCTCAAAAGGGTTAAGAATTTGCCTAAAGGCACTCAGAGAATACAAAGGCAGAGTCAAAACATAAAATCCAATATATAGGGCACAGCCTGTGCCTCACCATCACTTATTCTAGGCAGCGGTTCTCAACCTGGGGTTGCGAACAATGAAAATACATCCAGCAGCAAAATTACAGTTATGAAGTAGCAACGAAAATAATTTTTTGGTTGGGGAGTCACCACAACATGAGGAACTGTATTAAAGGGTCGCGGCATTAGGAAGGTTGAGAACAACTGTGGGTTTCAACTGCTGATGGTTCACTCACCGCCCACCCTGGGACATTTTGCAGTGTCTGAAGACATTTTTGGTTGTCACGACCCCTGAGGCAGGGATTCAGGGGAGGGTGTGTGCTACTGATATCTGTGGGTAGAATCAGGGATGCCACTATGATGCTAAACATTCTACAAGGTATAGGGAAGCCTCTACTACAAAAAATCATCCAACCCAAAATGTCAATGGGGCCAAAGTTGAGAACCCTGCTTTATACCACATCTCAGTTTTCTACCATGCATGCCCACAAGTCAGTAAGAATTCAAATATATGTAGTAATGTATATGGTAATGCAGGATCTAGAACCCAAGATTTCCTATAACTCAAATACACTCTGCTCCCCTCTCCCTATTCTTCGTTAACTTTACCAGAATCAACATACTGCCATCAAAGCCTGATGTTAGTCTACAATGCAGAATAACTTCAGAGTTAGGATGATTAGAGTTTGGGATGTATCAATAGCAAAATGCCAGGAAGAAGAGAATATCCCAAAACACAACTGGACAAGTCACAGACTACAGGAATATCAAGAAAGGGCTCTGGGAGCTGTTGTCAAGCATCCCTGAAGAGATCACTATGGCAACAAGGGCCATAGTGATGGGTAAAGCACTGGAAACATTTCTTTGTAGATAAGCAGTACTCCTATCATGTCCCACTCAAGCCTGTGGTTTCTCAACCCTGGCTGCTTTCTAACTGTATAGATGCCCAGGGCCCACCCCACACCTCACAGAATCAGAATAGGTGTGGTGTGGGGGACTGAGCATTTCTGGTTTTAAAAAAGCTCCCTAAGCACCTAGACTGGTTTGGCTCAGTGGATAGAGCATCGGCCTGTGGACTGAAGGGTCCCGGGTTCGATTCCAGTCAAGGGCATGTACCTTGGTTGCAGACACATCCCCAGTAGGGGGTGTGCAGGAGGCAGCTGATCGATGTTTCTAACTATGCCCCTCCCTTCTTCTCTGTAAAAAATCAATAAAATATATATTTAAAAAAAACCCCAAAACAAAAAATTCCCTAGGCAATCCTGATGCCCAGACCGGGTGGCTAGCCAATGCTCAGACTCACAGAGGTGGCAATGGCCCACAGAAGAGAGACAGAGGGTGTGAGAATGGATCAGCTTAGGATCCCTGTCTAGAAAGACAGAATCCAAGAGAGCATGTGGAGCTTAAATAGCAAGAGGAAAAGCACATTGATGGGGGCAGTCCTTAAGGCTTCAAAATGCATAGGCAAGGGAGTCTTAGTTTACAGCGATAAGTTTAACATCCAAGCCAAATCCAGAAATGGAGTCAAGAAACACATAATGACTAATTAAAGGATGGCAGGAATATGTGAGGCATAAAAAGCCCTGAAAGTTGATTTCCTGAGGACATCTATGCCAGAGGCAAAGTACTAGGTGAGTGCGGCATTCATTACGCAAAAACATTCCATTTCTCTATTTTACACTTATCCATCCAACTATGTAGTAATTTATAATTGACAGCTGATGTGTCAGGTATATGTCAGAAATGGTATCCTTGGGAAACAGGAATCTATAATTTCCTCTTTATGCTAAAAGATATCTCCCAATGAAGGTCCTCACTGAATTCATTCATTCATTCATTCATCGGACAAACATTTCTTGGATACCTACTCTGCCAGGCACTGTTCTAGATGTTGTGACTCCATCAGTAATAATGACAGACAAAAAGCCTTGCCCTCATGGAGCTTATATTCCAGTAGAAGCGTAGTTGAACAAACAAGTAAACCTAGCATGCCAGATGGTGATTAAGTGCTGTGGGTAAAATTAAGCAGGGTAAAGGGGACAGGGAATGTGGATACAATTTAACACAGGTGGCCAGAGAAAGTCTCAATAATAAAGTAATCCTTGAGTAAAATTCTGACAGAGGTAAGGGAGTGGGCCATGGGAATATATGGGGAAGAGTGATTTAGGAAGAGGAAGCAGCAGGTCCAAAGGCATAATGGAGGGAGCTAATGGATTATTCAAGGGACACTGAGAAAGCCAGAATCAGGGAGAGAGTGGTGGGAGAGGACAGGGAGGTATCAGGGGGCCACTATGGCTTCTGGGTTAAGCAGTAAGGGTAGAAGGAAAACCCAAGGGGCAACAGTGTTGGTGGTAAGTGGTCATCCTCTAAAATACTTTTAAGGTAGAAGAGACAGGATTTACTGTGGCAAGTAAGAGAGAGAGAGGAGTCAAGGTGACTTCAAGGTTTGTGGCCTGATTCAAAGAATGGACTTGCCATTTACTACCATGGGGGAAAGACGATGGCATGGACAGGTTCTTAGAGAAAAGATAGGGATTTTGTTTGATATGCCTATTAGACACTCAAATAGAAATGGTGAATGATATTGGATAGATGAGTTTTGAGGTCAAGAAACTGAATGAGGCGAAGATGTAAATATATAAAGTAAGTCATATTGATTCCAATTTGTCCAGTCCCTCTACTAACTTTAAATCTTATGAATGCTCTATAGGCTCCTTTATCTTATAAAAGGGATGTGCCATAAAATGACCACGGTAGGGGGTGGTTCTGAAGCCAGACCTCATTGATTCACATCCCTGCTCCTTCCTGGCTGTGTAACCTGCTTTGTACAAATAACTACTCTGTTTCTTTACCAGGAGCACAGGGCTACAGTACCTACCTCATAGAGCTTTTGTATTACCGGAGAAAACACAGGGTGATCAAGACATTGAACATTACCTGGTACCATCACAAATGCTCCACCAGGGTGAGCACTTATCAATTCATGCATTCATGCAGTTCACTATGGAAACCTCAGGACACCCTCCAATAGCTGGGAGCATGGCATTGGGGATCAGGGCCAGGCAGGGAGATAGGTCGCTTGTAGCTGTGCACCTAGAACAGGGGGGAGCTAAAAATAGGCCTAGGAAGTCCCGAAGCTACAGCGGTATCACCACCACTGTTGATGTGAGCAGACATCGGCTTATGAAGTGTTTTCTCTAGGGATTCGGCCCTGTAACCTTGTCATAAACCTTCAGGTGGGATGTCAGCGCTCAACAGGGGAGAGGATCACAGTCTCTCTCTCTCTCTGGAACTGCAGCAAAAAAGGGCCAAAGAGGAGCCAGGACTTTCAGGACCCACATCCTGCGGCCCGGCCTAAATGCTGGCAGACTAGGTGCGACTCTTAGGTCGCCACGAAGGATCTGGGGAACTGGCGGGAACTGGGGGCCGAGTTCGCGGCGGGAGGTGCAAACAGACCCGGCGTCCTCCGTCCTCTGAATGGGGAAGGCCCGCGGAGGATGAGAACCCCACGGGATTAGTGGGTGGGCCGGTCAGACAGCGAGGCCCGGGAAGGGGGTGGGAGGGAGGCCGGGTGCCGGAGAATGAGGGGGCGGGGAGGGAGTGTGGCGCGCTGGAACCACCACCAGGCCCAGAGATCTATTTACAACCGAGGCCAAGGCGATGAGGCCGCGCCTCCCATGCCTATCAGCCCTCGGCCGGGTCCGCGAGGCGGAAGGGCGTCAGGGCCGCGGCCCCAGCGGCCTTCCCGATCCACGCCGAGCCGGTGAGCCCGGCCTGAGGGGACGCGATGAGGGACGGCTGCGGGACCCACTGCGCCACTATCTGGAAGCAGAAAGGCCCCCCGCACTCCGGGGTGCTCACCCCTCGGGCCTGTGGCCTTTGGACCTTCCCCCGCCCGTTCGCTGGCCGCCAGCTGGACCTCGACGGCGCCTCCCCTACCTTCGTTCGCCAGGTCCGCCATTTTACTTCCTCAAGCCCTCCCACAAGGCTCCGCGCTGGCCGCCGCTCGCCTGCTTTCTGCCAGAAACTCTCGCGCGTGCGCACTTCCCAGGCCGACTCCGAGCGAGGGCAGCTCGCGCCTGCGCGCCGAGCCCGGCGCGGAGTGGAGCTCTGTATTGCTGTCACCGGCAGGCCCTGTTCGGAGCACATGCCTGCCCACTAACCGCCCCCGCCTCCTTTTCCCGCCGATCGAGGGGGCGTGGTCAGGGCAGGGCGCACGCGCAGTGCCCCACGCGAGCATCCCGGGCAAGGGGGAAATATACACGTTCAGTACGGGAGCGCGGCTGGCGCTGGTTCTAGTCGCCCCAGTTTACTGCTTGTTTTCCGGGGATCCCAGTGGTGGGAGAGTGAGCCTTCCAGAGCGCCGCGATGGAAACCTTCTAGGTAAATCCTGGGGAGTCTGCGGACCGTGGCAGGGGGGCTTTCTACACGCACAGGTCAAAGGCCAGAGGGGGTGGCCTGCTAGGGGTTTTTGGCTCCCTGTCACTTCAGGCTTCAGTTTCCCCTTTTAAGGGGCAAGTACATTGGGCAAATGCTTTCTTGGGGACATGGGGAGTGGTTGGGGCGAGCAAGCAGAAATCAGAGGTTAAAAATAACTGGCCAAAGGTGGGGGTATCCGTGGGGGACACAGGTGTTGGCTGGGGGACCCCGCGCAAGGGACTTGATCTCTCTAGGCCAATAGAATGGGAGCTCCAGGATGGCCATACCTGATTTCATGAATGGAACAGCGCCCTGGCACAGACCAGGCCTGGAGTTTCATCTGTAAATGGGCTGATCAACCCCACAGGCTGATGTAAGAATCTAGAATGGGACTCATTCTAGATTCACCTGCTATGAATCTCTCAGAACACTCTGTGGGTTCTGCCTCACCAAAGCCTAGCCCAGACCCACCTGTTCTCATCAGCTTGGCTGTCAGCACCCCAGGCCAGACCATCCTCCTCTTTCTCCTGGAAGACTAGACAGCGTCCTCTCTCTTTGCTCTCCTTCCTTTCATTCTTCTGGAGCTCCAGCTTTGTTCTGCACACAGCAACATGAGCAGGAATCTTTTAAAAATATAAATTGGATCAAGGGCACATCTTTTTTTAATGTTTTTAAAGGGCTTTTGCTGAACTTGGAATCGACTCTAAACCTCTTATTCAGACTTACAAAGGCCCATGGGCTTTTCTCCCAGGTTCCCCCTTACTTATTGCAGTTCAGCCACAGGGGTCTTTCCATCCTTGAAGCACACTAGACTCCTTTCAGCCTCAGGATCTTTGCATTTGTTGATCCCTCTTCTTGTTACTTTGTGTCCTATGACTTATTTAGGTTTGAATCCCAGTTTCGCTCCTTCTCCAGGGGGCTCTAAAGGAGGAGGTCTCTAGCTTGTGAGCTAAGAATGGTGTTACATTTTTAATTGCTGGAAAAAGCCAGAAGAGGAGTAATATCTTAGAACATGTGAAAATTGTATGAAATTTAAATTGGAGTGTCCATAAACAGTTTTATTTTAAAATAGCAATATCCTATATAATAAAAGCCTAATATGCAAATTGTCCTCTTGGGCGAGAGTTCGACTGGGAGTTTGATTGCTCTCTATGACGTGCGCTGACCACCAGGGGGCGGCATGGAACGAAGGAAGACCCCAGTTGGCAACTGGCATCTGAGGAAGGGAGGCCCTGGCCAGCAGCCAGAAGGCTCCAATTGGCCCTGATTGAGAGCCAGGCCTAGGGACCCTACCCGTGCACGACTGGGCCTCTAGTATTCATTATATGTCATTACATATAATCCCTTCTTGGCCTTTGCCATATCTCTGAACCCTGTGACCTTTAATGAATTCTTTCCCTGCCTTTTTATTGGTTTAAAGTTATGTTAAATAGATACTGTATATCATTTAAAATAGAAAACTGCCAGCCATGAATAGGAGGTGATTGTAAAAATAAACAGGGCCCTGGCTGGTGTGGCTCGGTTGAGTGCTGTCCCATGCATGGAAAGGTCACAGGTTGGATTCCCAGTCAGGGCAAATGCCCTGGTTGTGGGCTTGATCCCCAGTAGGGGGCTTGCAGGAGGCGGCAGACGGATGTTTCCCCCTCTCCCTTTCCCTCTCTCTTAAAAAAAAAATCAATACAAACTATTTAAAAAATATTAAAAAAAATAAACATGAAAATTGAGGTTTTGAAATTTGGGGTGGCTACTGTTGCCTGCCAAGGTGCTGAGCCTGCCTTTTCTAAAGAGATTAGCAACATATTAGAGGGTGATTAAAGGCATATTATCACTTACCTGAACTTTCTCCTTGACATGGTGAGAAGGCGTGACAGATAACTGAAAATGGGATAACTATGATCCATGTGATTTGGTGTCATTTAATGCCATGTCTAGATGTCTCCTAAAGTCATTTCATACTCTACATTCATCCCACACTTTGGGAAACTCCCAGAAACACGTCATTACTTGGTAAATATAATCCAGTTGTGGTTTTCCAAGGCACATTGAGAGATGCTAAACCTATCAGCCTGATAGGCCAACTGAATTTCCACTGGTTACACAATTTTCATCACAGTGCCCGTGGCTGCCAACATCATGCCCTGCAGGCTTTCTTTTGATATCTTTATTTGGTCTCCTCTAAGAAATTAACTTTGTCAATATTTATTTATTAAACAAATATTTGTTCATCACCTACTCTGGTGGTTTTAAAATATGGCCCCAAGTTATTTGACCTTCTTCCCATCAAGTGCGAAGTCTCTGTCCCCTTCCCTTTCATGGGGATGAGCTTGTTGCTAGTCCATCAACAGAGTATAGTAGAAATGACACCAGGGAACTTACAAGGCTAGGTCATGACAGAGTGAGGGGAGGTAACTTCTGCCTGCTTTGCTGGAACACTTGCTCTTAAAAGTCTTCAGCCATCATGTAAGCAGCCCAACTGCCCCGAGGCAGCCATGCTGTAAGGAAGCTGAAACACAGAGACCATAAACCCCCTGAGAGAGAGCTGCCCCGCCTATGCCTGGCTGTTTCTCACCTTCAGAAACCATGGAAGATAAATTAAATGTTGGTTGCTGTTATAAGCCACTGAATTTGGGGGATATTTGTTATGCAGCAATATATATCCGCCAGACCTACTATGCATCAGACACTGCTTTACATGTTGGGGTCCAAGATGAACAAGACAGACCTTGCCTTCCCGGAACTTTGCGTTCTTCGGTGGGGAGACTGACAATAGGCAGGTAAGCAAAATCATTTGAGATAGTGACTAGTGCTACAAAGAAAATAAAATAGCATATTGTGACAAAGTGACAGAAGGGATACTTTAGATTGGTTGGTCAGGGAAGTAGCCTCTGAGGAGTGACATTTTAGTAGATCTGTAGGAGAAGCATTCTAGACAGAACAGTGAGTGCAAAGGTCTGAGGCAGGAACCAGGTTGGTGAGCTGGAGGAGCAGCGAGGAGCTGTGTGGGCCAGGAGAGAGTGAGGAAATGCGGTTAGGCAGGGCCGCGAGCGAGAAATTTGTAGTTTTTCCTAATACAAGGCTTGGAAGTGGGAAGTGGAGGGATCCAGATTGTTTACCTTAAACTGCTGATCAGCCTCTCTGCTGCCTGCTTCCTCCTTAGCTTACTAGGAGACAAGTCCGAGGTACCCCTGAGCCCGGCTGAGCTCTGAGAACTGTGAACTTCCTTATCCACAGCCAAGATGGAAAATGGCTTTTATAGTTGGGCTCCAGGTAAAAGTCTTCACAACTGTAATTCAGTTCTTGTTTTCCCATCGTGGGCAGGGAGCCAGCCATGTGAAAAAGTATCTGCCTTGTGCCCAGCCGCACACTGAGGTCAAGACCCAGAGATGAATCAGATACAGTTCCCTCCGTCGGGGAGCTGAGAGTCAGGTGGGGACAGAGGGGAGGCATCGTGTTGCCTCTCCGGCTCAGCGCCGTTCCCTGTCTTCCCTCAGTCTGTGAGTTTCTCACAGTAGGATGTCCAATGTGGCTGACACTGACACAGAGGGCAACCCCTGACCTAAGCTGGGTGCAGCAGTTAAATATGGTATGGAAATACTTACCTTACTCTATTTTATTTGTAATTAAAATATTTTTTAACTTTTGTCCTAGCGGTGTGGTTCAGCTGGTTGGACGTTGTCCTGTGTACCAAAAGGTTGCCTGTTCGATTCCCAGTTACGGCACATGCCCGGGAGGGGAGCTTGAGATCCTGGTGGAGCGTGCA